ATGTAGATAGTTGTGATTTATAATGTCAATAAAAGCATTAATGTTGTTTTTCATTTCTTGCGGTGCGGTTGCGGTTTTCGGCGGTGCGGTTGCGGTTTTCGACGCTGCGGTTGCGGTGCGGTTTCAAATTTTGCGGTTTTGTGCGGTTGCGGTTTTTGAAAATTCTAACCGCGCAGGGCTCTAGTGTATGCATGTGTAATGTGTATGTAGAAGAAGGAATAGAAGACAATTTTTTTTTCTCAAAAAGCTGGCAAAGTGCGAAGTTATTGTATGTATGTATGTATGAATGTATTTATCTTATTTGTTTTTGTTTGTATGTATGTATGTATGTTTGTTTGTTTGTTTGTTTGTATATTTGTATGTTTGCATTTTTGTATGAATGTTTGATGTGGTTAACATATGATGGTTTTCACGGTAGATGAGTTTTGTATTTGCCCTGTCATCTTGTGAATGAATGAATGTATGAGTGAGAGAATGAATGAATGAATGAATAAATGAATGAATGAATGAGTGAATGAACGAATAACTAAATGTATAAATGTTTGATGGCTTAAAAAACGCATCGCTTTTTATTTATTTTTTTTGTTCAACTTGAATAACAGAAACACAAACAGCCAGGGAACCAGAATAATCAACACGACAACATAAAACAACAACAGCTATCATAATTGTCATTATTATTATTATTATTATTATTATTGTTGTTGTTGTTGTTTGTGTATATTCCTTATTGGCTTTGTCAAATGTAACGTCTGAGACAGCCCCTGTGGCATCTATCAAGTCTTTTATTCGCTTTTGCTGATGATGCTGACGACGATGATGCTGACGACGATGATGATGATGATGATGGTAATGATGATGATGATGATGATGTTTTCTTGAATTTACATTTGCGAAGGCAGCGGTGTTTCGTTCGATTTTTGGCAGAGTGTTTGAAAGTTTTGTTGTTGTTATTGTGGATATTGTTGTTGTTGTTGTTGTTGATGTTGTTGTTGTTGATGTTGTTGTTGTTGTTGTTGTTGTTGATGATGTTGTTGTTGTTGTTGATGTGGTCGTTGTTGTTGTTAAAATTTAATATGCCTGATTCATTTTGAGACCTATTTTTCTTGCTTGGCTTGTCAACATTTTTGTTGATGTTGTTGTTGTTGAGTTTGTTGTTATTATTGTAATAACGATTACTATTACTCTTATTATTATTGTTGTTGTTTTTGTTGTTGTTGTTATCTACCAACTCGAATGGATAGTATTTGTGTTGATAATAATTGATGTAATGATTGTTGTTGTGTTGTTGCTGTTGTTGCATAGTTGATTCTGGTATATCGTTGTCGTTATAATTGTTATTATTATTATTATTATTATTATTATTATTATTATTATTATCGCCGTTAATAACTTTCGGCTTTTTTATCTTTTCATATTTCTTTGCGGAGTAGTTGCAATTATTATTATTATTATTATAAATTTTATTATTATCATGATTATAAATTTTATTATTATCATGATTATAAATTTTATTATTAATATTCTTCTTCTTCTTCCTCTTCTTCTTATTATTATTCTTTTCTATTAGTCTCGTACCATTTATATTATTATTATTATTATTATTATATCTGTCGTTCTTTTGCTTGCTGACTCTGATATTATTATTATTCTTGTTGTTGTTATAATTATAGACAAAATTATTATTATAATTATAATTATTATTATTATAGGGGCCATAATTTTTAACGTACCATTCATAAAGCAATTCGTTATAAATGCCTGCTTTCTTCCCATACAATGATGACGACGACGATGATGATGACGACGCTGATGGAAGTATTGATAATGATGATGACGATGACGTCACATGATTAAAGCAAATAATCACAGTGACGAATGTGACAGAGTTAAAAATATGTGATTTCGTTGTCTTTGATTTGTGATTAGAATTAAAATTACATCTTTTACTTCGTCTGCTTTTATTACTACTTGCATTGTTGTAATTATTATTATTGTTATTGTTGTTATTGTTGTTTTTGTTGTTGTTTTTGTTGTTATATGACATTTTCGCGTGATGTTTGACGACCATTTTGGCATATTTGTCCAGGACTTTTGCGTGTTTTTTGTTGTTGATTTGTTGTTGTTGATGTTGTTGTTGATGTTGTTGTTGATGTTGTTGTTGATGTTGTTGTTGTATTGATGTTGTTGTTGATTTCGATGACGTTCTTTTTCATGTAGTTGCAGATAATCACATGAACTCCACATCAGCAAAGTTTGATTAAAACATCTCCAAGATGTACACACACACACACATACATAAACACACGCAAACATACACACGCACACACAAATAAATATCCTGATATTTATAATATAACGAATTAATTAACCAACACAATAACATCACTAATAAATGAACAAAACATATTATTATTATTGCGAAATAATAAAACGCATGCAAATGTAATAGTATTTAATTATAATGGAATAATTTACATTAGAACATCATTAATTTGAAACATTGCTGATCAGAAAATAATGTTACTAGCTAGAACTTAAATACTAGACACACACACATACAGATATAACTTTAATACAACCATACCATTATTATATTGTTTAAGCTGCTAAATTTTCAAGGCGCTCTTCGATACCTTTTTATGCACGTGTGTATGTGTATGTGTGTGTGAATATTTTATGTGTGTGTGTGTGTGTGTGAATACTGTATGTGTGTGAACATTGTGTGTGTGTGTATATTGTGTGTGTGTGTGTGTAAATATTGTGGGTGAATATTGTGTGTGTGTGTGTGAATATTTAAAGATGTTTGTATGTGTGTGTGTGTGTGTGTGTGTGTGAAAAGATGGATATGCACACACATACAAACATAAATACACACATACGTACACACACATACATATATGCACACACATATACACACACGCGCACACACACACACACACAAAAGGAAACATGGATTCATAAATAATGTTTAAGAAATTGTGATGCCATGTAAGTCGTAAATATAAAGTGAGAGGGATCAAGTGCGGCGCTGATAAAATAATCATCGCCATCAGTTTTGAGATTACTGTCATCACCACCATCACCACCACCACCATCAGCAGCCACAGCAGCAGCAGCAGCAGCAACACCATCCACTACATCATCAACATCTTAATTGCCCGAGGGTAAACCAAATGTAAAACATAACTTTAACCTTAACCTTATAACTTAAAATGAGAAAAAGAACGAGAGAGGAGAGAGAGAGAGAGAGAGAGAGAGAGAGAGAGAGAGGAAGAGATAATAAAAGAATGAAATACTTTAAAATTGGCATGGATAGTTCAATTCAGAATACATCACAGAAACGTTCAAATATCTGACCATATATAAAAAGGAGTAACATTTCCCGGCCGATAAAATGAAGACGACGACGATGAAAAAGATGACGACGACGACGATGATGATGTCTTATTATAAAGCAAAAGAATTTTTCTAATTAAGCTTTAGCTGAATGATTGAGCGTATTGATTGATCATAATGATCATGTTGATGTATGTATGTCTGTCTGTATGTTGTATGTCTGTCTTTATGTTGTATGTATGTTTGTATGTCTGTCTCTATATTGTTTGTATGTAAGTATACACGTTTAAAACTTTATGCTTACCAATTCGAATTTTTTGAAAGCAACTTACTTAATTTTCTCCTTTTCAAAATCGACTGAATGATTAGTTTAATGATTGACAGATTGTATTTTTGATTTTACTCATTCATTCTCTCTCTCTCTCTCTCTCTCTCTATCTTTCTCTCTCCAGAAATACAGAAATTGTTTTCGAAATTTTTATTAAAAATAAGCATCTACATGCATATACAATCAAACGGTATTAAAATTCTTAGATTTTCATCATCACCATCACAATCATCATCACCATCTTCATCCTCATCATCTTCAGAGCTAAAATAGAAGAAACATTGCATTAGCGTATGTATATTTAAAACAATTAGTTAGGTGTAAAAATTATCAACAACAACAACAATAATAAGTTATATTATTATTATTGTTGTTAATTATTATTATTATTCTTTATTTTATTACGAAAATTATTGCCACTATAATAATTATATTAAAATACCGTTGTTGAAAATTTTCTTAAATGGCTGGTTGCTTGCTTGGCATGAATGGATGGACCGATTGATGGATTGAAAAAACGAATGAATGAAGCAAAAACAATAAAAAACAACAACATCAACAAACATACAAACAAATATACATACAAACAAACATGCAAACATACAAAAAAACAAACAAATGTACATTGGCAAAAACTAGCAAAGGTAGCAGCAGCAGAACCGTGAACTAAGATACGCACATCGTATGGAACGTGGCTTACTATAAAAATTCATAAACTGCATTCAAAAAATAATAAAAACCATAATAATAATAATTATCATTACTATTATCATTAAAACTGTTATCATAATCATGAAGAACAAAAATTCGTTTAAGTTCCTTTCAAATCAAAACTGGTTGAAGGAATTAAGAAATCCCATGGGTATAAAATAAAAACAGAAAAGCAGTAGTAGTAGCAGCAGAAGCAGCAGCAGTAGTAGTAGCAGCAGTAGCAGTAGTAGTAGTAGTAGCAGTAATAGTAGTAATAGCAGGTAGTAAAAGTTAATCAATAAGTTTGTTCACCGTTAATTTTTAACTTTTGTAATATGAAGAAGCACATAAATCTATTATACTAAAATATCTGAAAGGTATATATAGATATATCAAACATTTACAAAATGGAACGGATTATATTCAAATTTTCAATAGGAATAAAATGAATTTCGGAATAATAATAATAATAATAATGATAATAATAACAATAATAATAATGATAATGATAATAAAGATGATGATAGAATCATAATTTAAGGATTAATAATTATTTTTGATTAAAATTTTTCTATAAATATTATTAAAGCGATGTGAAAGAACTCCTATATATATGACAGGTTGAATGAATGAATGAAAGAATGAATGAATATAGAGATAAATCATTCATTCAATCATTTATACATCAAAACATCCATCCATCTATCTATTCATCCATCTATCTATTCATCCATCTATCTATCCATCCATCTATCTATCCATCCATCCATCCATCCATCCATCCATCCATCCATCCATCCATCCATCCATCCATCCATCCATCTATCTATCTATCTATCTATCTATCTATCTATCTATCTATCTATCTATCTATCTATCCATCCATCCATCCATCCATCCACTTACCTACCTACCTACCTACCTACCTACCTACCTACCTACCTACCTACCTACCTACCTACCTACCTACCTACCTACCTACCTACCTACCTACCTACCTGTCTATCAATCAATCAATCAATCAATCAATCAATCAATCAATCAACAAAAATCATAAAATTCTCAAAATAACTCAGACAAGAAATAATTTCGAAATTAAAATTAAACCTGATATGATAGTTATATTGATAATAAAAATATAAAGTAATTACGTAACAACAACAATAATAATAATGATAATAATATTGATGATAATAATAATGATAATAATAATAGTATTAATAATGTTAATAAGTAACAAAGTAACATTGTAATGTCAAACGAAGTATATAAAACCTCTATTAACAATAAGAATCGACTCATTTATATGTGATATACATGTGTATGTATGTTTGTTTATATGTATGTTCGTATGTATGTATGTGTGTGTATGTATGTTTGTATGTGCTTTTAAATGGGAGTGCTTTGCTCACTCAAGCTACATTTGATTGACAGATAAAATCTGCGACAGGCTGAACAGGTGAGGCAATTTGAAATGGTTCTGTGGCGCTTGCTCAAATCTTACTCCTACTCCCAAGAAATTAACCACCTCTGTCGAGACAAATAAAAACGAAATGATGGGTAAACCCCCAGCAGTCTGCATGATCTGAATAATCAGGTCAGGACTCAAATTGAAATCATCAGTGAGGCAGTTGATAAGAACAGTGGAAAGTTTAATCAATTTGATGGATCAGATGCTTAAAGGGGCTGAACTGGATTACTTGAAAAGATGAACGTATGTATGTTTGTATGTGTGTATGTATGTATGTATGTTTGTTTGTATGTATGTTTGTATGAATGTATGTATGTTTGTTTGTATGTTTGTTTGTATGTATGTACGTATCGACAGGTAAAAGTCAGGTGGCTAAAATATAAATTGATAAAAATTTTCGGCGTATGTATAAAACTTGAAACGTAAAAAAACGTGATGATGATGATGGACATCATCATCGTCATCATCATCATCATCGTCATCTTCATACTCATCTCCATCATCACCATTATAAAAGCAATTATATTATTATTATAGCATATTTAAACCGCAGGTAAAACGAACTCAAACCAATCAACGTTCATAATTGTCAATTTCGTCTTAGCGATATCATCAGTATTAATGGTAATATTATTTATTTTTATACTAATTCAATTATAATTATTATCATTATTATAATTGTAATTATGATGATTTTTATTATTATTATTTATTATTATATTTGTTGTTGTTGTTGTCTTTCGGTGCGAATTTCGATTTTCTCAACTGAGAGGTCAGGGTTCATGTTAGTCACTGCGAAGATGGCGTCTCTAAGGGCCTGTCTCATTGGCAGGTGGGTTTGTGGGGGGGGGTTGTTTTGAGATTGGTCAGTCAGTCAGTTGGATGGTTGGTTGGTTGAATGGTTGGTTGGATGGTTGGTTGGTCAGATGGTTGGTTGAATGGTTGGATGGTTGGTTAGATGGTTGGTTGAATGGTCGAATGGTCGGTTGGTTGACTGAGCAGTTTGTGGTTGATTAAAAATATTTTGACTATGTCGACAAATACAATGGGCAAAATAAAACGTATAATAAACGAATGAATGAATGAACGAACAAATGAACGAAGGAATGAAGAAACGAATGAATGAATGAATGAACAAACGAATGAATGAATGAATTTATTAATTAGTGGACAAATGAGCAAAAGATAACCTTATCTTCATCATCATCATCAACATCAAGACCTCCAGACATTAACGTCTTCTTCTCGATATTTGTCTCTACCACTCCGTTCTTCTCAACTTTGTGCTGTCATGTGTGTGTGTGTGTGTGTGTGGGTGTGTGTGTGTGTATGTGTGTGTGTGTGTATGTATGTGTATGTATGTATGTATGTGTACAGTCACGTGTGTGTGTGTGATTGTGTGTAACGTCATCACCTACATAAAAATCACCATCATCATCCTTATCATCAACAACCCCCCCATCATCATCATCATCACCACCACCTCGGTAACCATGGTGCCATCCGGCCCCCTATAAGTCTTGGTAGTAGTTTTGGTAGAGCTGGTAGTGACGTAGGGACTGCCGAGTTTGCCAGCAGCTGCTGTGGTCGAACCTTTAAGGAGGTGCTGGTCTTCCAGGTAGGGGGGCATGTTGCTGTCGTCGTCGTCGTCCTACACGTACGTGTGTGTGTTTGTGTACGTGTGTGTGTGTGTGTGTGTGCACGTGTGCGTATGTGGGTTTGCTGGGTCTTCTGTGATTCATTTCCTTAACCGCAGTAACAACCATCAGTACCGCCACACCACCATCGCGGTCGTCATCTTTCTCGTCATCATCATCGTCATCATAGTCATCACAATCATCATCATCGTCATCATGACTCACCCCAGAATCCCTAATTAGATTTCCGTATTGATCATATTGTAGCTGGCGGGTGGTCGTGAAGCCGCCTGTGGTCGCTGCCGTCTGCTGCTGCGTTCTCGTCGTGTAACTGACCGACGAGTAATTCATTCCCCCTCCTCCTACGCCACCTGTGCCCATGGCCCCCTGGCTCGTCAGGGCCACTGAACCCTTTTTTTAACGTAAGGTCGGAGGTTAAAAGGTAATTCTTTGTAAGCAAGAGCCAAACTTTGACAAATAACAACAAAACGTTCACCAAACCAGAAAGGAGACAAAAGGAACGAGACGAAATTTGATTTGCTTCTTATAATAAAGAAATTAATAAAAAGTTCCAGCAAGAACTCGTCTGCTTGCTACGGCCACCTAATCAGAAATCACAAGTATCCTTTAGAGCTTTCAACATTGTAAACAGTTGTAAGATTGCGCGAAAAGTCGTCTCACAAAAAATGAACCGCATACATAACTTATAGAAATGTAAATTGTTGGCACCAGCACCAGCAAAAACAACAACAACAACAACAGCAACAACAACAACAGCAACAACAACAACCAACTAACATATCCATGATCAACCGCACTGGCGCCGTACTCCAGATTCTTGTCGGAGTCTCCGTTGGCGGTCGGGGTCATCGTGCCCCCGTAACCTCCCAGCTTGTTCTTCCGCAGGTTCTTCAGGTCCAGCGTGGCCGTGTGCGGGTTCCCTGCCACTACCTCCTCCACGCGATCCGTACTCGTACTTGGACCTTTATTATTATTATTATTATTATTGTTATTATTATTATTATTTTTGTTGTTATTATTATTATTGTTATAATTATTATAATTACACAAACTCTGCTGCCATTAGTACGAAAACATTTGGTTGGTTAATGAAGTAACAAAAGAAGTATTAGTGATTAAACAAAATTACAGTACTACTGCCCCCACAAACTTCGCAGCTTCCACAACTTTACACACACACGCGCGCGCGCGCACACATACACACAAACAAACACACGCACGCACACACACCCGCACGGACACATTGTTAAAACGTAAAATTCCATACCGACTCGTTGAATGATATTAATAATTTTAAAACTAAAAATAACAGGCAGAAAAAATTTATCCAACGAAAATTCCATGCGCAATAATAATAATAATAGGTTACCATCTAAAAAGTTTCGTATTCCTATTTGAGTAAGCAGTCGTTATTAGATTCTTTAGTAGTTCATTCATTCTTTTATTGTCAAATTGCAACTTGAACATTCATTCGCCATCCAATCAACATCAATCAAATCATTCAATCAATAATCCAACTAATCAATTATTCATCAACCAGTCAACACCAATCAAGGCAGCAACTGAACGAAAGGCAATCCAACCAATCACAGCCTAGCAACTAAAACCAACCAGCCAGGCAACCAACGACGGCTCACCTTCAGTTTCATAATTTTTAGCCACCACGTCTCTGGCGTATTTCCTACTGGCCGCCCTATCGATGGTCGGAGTCTTGCGGTCGATGTTCGTCGACTCGCTGCGAGTTTGGAACTGGGTTCGACCCGAATACCGGAACTTCGATCCAAACAGCGGAAACATCCCTCGTTTGGGAGGTTCCGGTTCTTTCAGCCTGTCATTAAAACGACGACGACAATGATGATGATGACGAAATTGAGAATAAATGATGAATGAGTGAATGAATGAATGAATGAATGAATAAATGAATGAAGAACCAAACCTAAAGAAAGAATGATGCTCCACAGCAGTCTTCCACAATCGTTTCGCCATTGTATGATTGGTCAGTTTATACGTTAGCGTCTGTGGTTCATTCTTCTCTTTCTGTATACATGTTTGCATGTATGTGTGCAAGCATGTATATATGTATATATGCATGCATGCACGCGTATATGCATGCATGCACTCCTGTTACAATCATCAATGTCATCACAAACCTCTCCAGGCCTGATCTTTATGAAGAAACAGTTCCTCTTGTAAGCAATCTTAAGAATCTTTGCCCATGGAAAGCGATGCAGTCTCAACTTCTCCTTGTAAACATTCAAACCCTGACAGCACACACCTACTGATACTTCACTGTGGTTCTCGTCCTGTGTGCGTGTGTGTGTGTGTGTGTGCGTGTGTGTGCGTGTGTGTCTTTAAATAAGTATACCAACTCTGGCTTTGTGCATGTCGACACCGTAGAGGGCCAGGAGTTTGGCGTTTTCAAGGTAAGTTAACTCTGCTTCAGCCGGCGGGATTCCACTGTCAATCAATCAATCAATCAATCAATCAATCAATCAATCAATCAATCAATCAATCAATCAATCAATCAATCAATCAATCAATCAATCAATCAATCAATCAATCAATCAATCAATCAATCAATCAATCAGTCAATCAATCAAGTCCATTAATTAACCAATAAATCAATCAATCAATGGATCAGCCAGCCAGCCAGTCAAAACGAAACAACCAACCGATGATTCTTATGAAGTTCACATATCTTTTCCAACATTTCCTCAGTTTGCAATTGAATCGGGGCATAAGGGGCCGAGTCGGCCAGGTACTGTACCCCCTGACCCAACTCTTGAGGGTCGTAATCCCCGTACTCTGATTGGGCCGCTAGTGAGCCAAGTAAGCAGTAGGTCACGAAACTGCATGGAAGGCTGAAGAAAGATGATAGTGATGATGATGTTGTTGTTGTTGATGATGATGATGCTGTTGTTGTTGTTGATGATGATGATGTTGTTGTTGTTGATGATGATGATGATGATGATGCTGTTGTTGTTGTTGATGATGATGATGTTGTTGATGACGATGATGATGATGATAGTGATAACAGCAAAACTAACAGTCCGTTATAGACGTCCGTTCTAACTTGCAAAAACAGCTGGTACCTAGATGATGAAATATACAAACCAACCAATTAAAATACACGACTCCTCCTCGTATCAACAAATCCCATTATCGAGCCAATCACAGTCAAGCACCTACTCCACCCATCACACAGCCATCCAATCAGAATAAGCCACCTGGTCAAATCCTCGGACATAATGTTAGGGTCACTTGGGTAAAACTTCACTTCAAACTTGAAGTTCCAGACGAAATCTTCAATTATTTATTCAATTATAACTATTCACAGTTATCAATCAGAGTTTTCACAATATATAACATTAAATAATTGTATTAAAAACCGATATAACATGAAATAATATGCACATGTAATGTACAATTGTACAGATATGCACGCTGCGATGAAAAAATTTACGTGTGTGTGTGTGTATATGTGTGTGTATGTATGTATGTACGCAATAATTTATGAAATCTACAGAATTGTATGTTTGTGCATGTATGTATGCGTGTAGAACAAGTTCAACAACACTTTAAAGTATTAAAACTGAATCATGTCTAATGGTTTGCACTTTATAGACCTCAGTCATGCTTGTTCATACACACACACACACACAAACAAACACACACATACACACACATATATATATACACACGCACATACATACAAACAAACAAAGATAATGTGATCATTAAATAAGATTTATCTCCCATCTAACTTTTTATCTGTTTACTAATTCTTCTCTCATGATTTATCCAAAACTGCGAAAGGAATGAACGAATCAGTTAATAAATGAATGAGTGAGTGAATTAATGCATGAATGAATGGATGAATGTAAAAATAGAAAAACTCGTAAGGTAATCAATTTAGTTTGTTCAAGAACTTTAAAAAGCAACCAGTGAATAAATTAATGATTGACTGACTGACTGACTGAATACAAAAATAAATGAATGAGCGAACGAATGAACGAATAAACAAATGAACTAAATAATACATGAAATAAAAGAAATACAAGAATACAAAATGAATACAAAAATGAATACAAAAAGAAATAAAATGATCCCCAGTCACCAACTTTAACTCCATTGACTAAATATGAACATGAGAAATAATCTTTCTCTAAAAGTTCGAAACTGGCACATGCCTTGTCCACCAAATCTTGCCCCTTTGCCGATTTCTAGTTAGGAAAATAAACAAAATAGTGGATTGAGAGAATGAATAATTGAACGAATGAATGTAAGTAAGTAAGCAATTAAAAAATTACCTGTTAAAAATGTTTAATAAATCTTTTGAAAATTAATCCGTCTATATACGTCATCACAACAGCACAATATCATAGCAACATGACAACAACAACAACAACCACATATGACGTCATCCCAACAACGACAGATCTCGTGACGATAACAACAGCAACAACAACAACAACGGATTACGTGATTACGAACCGGCAGTTCAATGTCGACGTCGTGTCCGTCGAGCATGGTCACCTGACAGATGACATTTCCATTTTTAGCGAACCTCGGACCGCCTGGAACTTTTTTAGCCGGGGACGTGCTCGGCGATCCCTGGATTTTAAATTATTTAAAGAAAAAATTATTCATAATAATTCATAATAATGATCACCATTATTATTATTAATAATATTATAAATGTTATTATTATTATTTACAATCTATTTACCGGCTTTTCACTATCATTAGCTAGAAGGCCCACATTTGAGGTTGGGGTGTCCTAAAAAAAATATAAAACAAATAATTAAATTAATAAATTAATATATATATGTATATATATATATATATATATATATATATACTGATATATATATTTTTTTTAGAAAGAGATAGAGAAAAAATGTACAACAGGAGTGGGCAAACTTTTTGCTGTGAGGGCTGCATTGTGAACAATTTAATTTTTGAAGGGCCACATATGTACTTAAATAGCAAATTTTTTCGACCCGGGGAGAATTTTTTAAGATTTGTGGCTCCTTTTTTTGGTCATAATGTCTGGTTGACGACCTTTTATTAAGCGAGCAAGGTCACGCGGGCGGGCCACATAAAATAGCTTTGCGGGCCGCATGTGGCCCGCGGGCCGTAGTTTGCCCACCCCTGATATACAATATTAAAAATTAACATTTTTACACATCAACATTTAATAAAGTTTTGTAATTCAACAGCTACCCAGCACACAGTCAGCACCTTGTTAAAAGTCATCTCACTATTATAACAACAATAACCTTACTAATCACTAACCATTTTATAATAGTATCATCTATTTATACAATTATCTATTCATTTGTTTTGTTTACATTCTTTGGTATAAATTATTTAAATATTTATTAATTAATTGTTTGTTTTGTTTAAACTCCAAATTCCAGGCACTTCTGAATAAAATAGAAAATAAAAAAATCCAATACTTAGTTATAGAATTTATATAACTTATTTTATTACTGATTTATTTTAAATTTAAAACTCTCTCTCTCTCTCTCTATATATATATATATATATATTCATATATAATCCCATCCCTACTTAAATTTCTTAATTTACAACTCACTAAACCAACACAAATACAACAACACCAACACTAATTCTATACACAATCTAAATTTAGTGAAAGATAAAAAAACATATATTTAAAGAATGAGTGATAATACAGACCAAAACATAGACTCTACATATACATATATACTGTATATATTAAACTGTCCTAAAGTAGAGTAACTGAAGGTTTATTGTATCTATGGAGCATAGATATAAATGAAATATGATGAATATGTAATAAAATTCATATGCTGGCTTGCACATGTCTGTGCTTGGCTATATGTTTGCATCTGTCCAATGTTTAAACATTGTGTATATGAATTTATGTTTTTGTATGTGTGTATGTTTGTATTTGTATGTGTGTGTATATGCTTGAGTATGTGTGTGTGTGTGTGTGTGTGTGTGTGTGTGTGTGTGTGTGTGTGTATACCATGAGAAAAAAACCCATTAATAAGATGATAGTTGTGTTGATAAAGATGATGAACTTTAACCCCAATTATATATTTATATATATGTGAATGTTTGTCTGTGTTTATGTTGTGATGATTGTTTTATTGTCTGTCTGACTTGTGTGTGTGAGAGTGGGTGCGTGCGTGTATGTGTGTGTGTGTGTGTGTGTGTGTGTGTGTGTGTGTGTGTGTGTGTGTGTGGCAATAACAAAAATATTAACTCACTTGATCAGCTCTTCTGCCTGAATTTTCTGCCGGCATATCTTCAGAAAATATTGAACTAATACTAATATAGTCATGTGGTGGTAATATTAAAAAATAAGAATTAAATTCATCAATTCATCATGTTCTTATCTATAAACATCACTGAACAACCCACACATACCACACACGCATACATGCACGCATACACTCAGATTGTATGCAACATATATATTAGATATATATATGCATACAATCTATATACACTATTGTGCTATCTTAAGGTAAACAATAAACTTATTCATTCATTCCTGCTTTCATTCACTCATTCATTCTTTTTAAATCTATCCAATCAGTCAACAACCTATCCATACAATATACATATATACTTACATATAGATACAATATATATATATATATATATATATATCTACATACATACATAGAATAAAACATACAAACACATTTACAAACATACATACACCTCCACTAATATCATATCCTTATTCTTATTAACTACTCCTAAGACAAGAGTGAAAGTTCTTATTATTACTTTTATTTTATTGTAATGCTTAAGTATGCTAATTTAAAACTTAAAGCTGAATAAATTATAAGTATGTGATGTGTGTATGTGTGTGTATCTTTAAAAATATACCATGATGATGATGATCAATCAAATCATAAACCAGTCATCATTTAAAAAAAAAAAGAATTACAAATTAGTTTGTTGGACTTAAATTCAAAAAATGAAAAACTTTGATTAAACTATTTCTCAATCTCTAATCCAATTTCTCAATCTCTTTATCCAACATCTCTAATTCTAAATTATCTAACTTACTTTATTAATCTTAATGGAATTTTGAATCGAAATATTAAATAAATGAAATTCAAAAATTACTTTTGCTAAAACTACGCTAGTATTTATATTTCTTTAATAATATAAATTTGATATTATAAAATTTTAAATTATAATATAAAAATAAATTAATAAAAGTATGTATACTAGCTTCTTGGCACAACAAGACACTTCGAAGATTATTTAAAACTTAAAATCTTAATTTTGCAAAATATTTAACAAATAATTTTTAACAAAATAAACGATTTTTTTAATATTTGAAATTAAATTTAAATAAAACACAAACGACCGATTGATATCCAATTAAACTCTAAACTTTAAAGGAATTCCAAAGGAATCCCAAACTTTCATACCTGTAATGTTCAATCAACGGATGTCTACCTAATGGGCCAAACGCATTTAAAAATTATTCATTTGATTATTTTTAAGAACATAAATGTCGTTTTAGTTTTTGTAATAAAAAAGTGTAGTTTAAAACAAAATTTTTAAATATTAGTTTATTAATTTTTATAGTTTTGTGAAAGAGAATTATCGTTTTTAACTTAACAATTATCGCTTACGGCAAAATTTAAATTTGTTACCAAAATTTACTTTTAACGGTTGATGTGTCAATAAGGTGTATTTAAAAGTAAACCTAGTCTTTACCTTATTTCGTGTTTCACTGTAGCATAAAGTTAAAATCACCAAGAGACACTTTATCGACATTTTCATTTAAAAAATGTTATCTTTTCAGATTTACGTAAATTTATTAATTTTAATAAATTCCGCTCTAGGGTTCGAAAGTTTTTTTGACAGTTCTTTCTACACAATAAACTGGAAAGGACCCAGCACTGCCCAACTGACAGATGAGGTTTATAAATAATATAATTTATTATTGTTAATAATGAGATTGTTAACAAAATGAAAATGACCCCTTAAAAAATCAATCGTGGGTCAGGATGGTGATAAAACATCCAGGTCCAGTCAGTTATCTCCTAGACTAATTGTAAATGTAAAATAAATAAATATTAAAATAAATGTAAAAATAATCATAAATCAAATTTTCTATAATGATTTCTGATGGCTTTTTTTTTAGAAAGAAAACATAATCCTGACAACAAACAACCAAGAAACATATCAGTGTACACTGCCAGAAGTTATTGATGAGAAAACAAGACTAAAAGTTTGTGGATTGCTTAATCCATTAACAATAAAATAATTTAATGTTAATCTATTGAGAAAAATAATTATAAATTATTATTTCTTTATGGTCAAATAATTATATTTCTCAACTTTATTAAAATTATTTTGTGTACATTTAAATTATTTGAAATAATTTTTTTTTCATAGAATGAAGAACAATTTTCATCAGCCAGCCTTGAATTAGAATATCTCAGGCCTTTGTTAGATGATGACATTTGTACCTATAGAGTTAGTATTATACACACTTACTTACATCCCCCTCACAAACACCCATACATACATACAAACAAACCTGCTGTCAAACATATATACATACATGTATGTAAGCATAAAGACATGTATGAACTTAATGTATTTATCTTCTAAATTTTACTTTTTCAATAGTTAGAAATTTATTGGACATACGAGTTATGCCACTCCAAACATATCAGGCAGTTTCACGAAGAAAGAGAGTCTGGAAAAGTGATGACTTTATGTCTCAAACTATTAAAATCAAAAATTATTTGCTCAAATTTTATAATTTTTTTAAATTTTTAATATAACTGATTTATAATATAACTATAATATTATTGTTATAATACGTAGGTATGCCACTCCTTACAAATAACTCTCACACACACACACACACACACATAATACATACTTATATACACATTCACAGCCATTGAAAGTGCAAGAATATTACCTTGGCAAATACAGCAGAGAGAAATATAAAAAAGGTTGGCAGGCAAGCTGGAGATTCATTCAGCATTAAGCACCAGCAACTTCACACACTCATCAAAAACATTTTAAACACTTTTTTTAAATGCTGAACTAAGCTGCAAATTTGATAATTTTGAAAATAATTTTATTTTCTTTGTTCATTTTCACATTTGAAGATTTAGAGAAAGCAAGGAAAGATAGAGATGAAGGAAAAAGCATTGCTCACCCAAAGAAAAAAGTTATCTCTCTACCTTTCTTACTCAAATAATGATGAAAATATTTGATAACATTCACCCTCATACTGTTGATTACTATTTACTAACTGGCATAAAGTTTCCTTTCAAGCACTTAACATCAACTATTTTACAAAATTTTCATTCAATATTCTCAAACTTTTCTAGCACAAAATTTTCTTTGCACATGAATCATTAGAAGGTATTGGGAGTTGAATATCCATACTATGAGGTCGTGTACGAAGATGGCAGCGTTTGTGACCTCACAGGTCAGCCGAGAAGGTCACACATACAATTTATTTGTTACTCTGGCGGTAGTAATGAGATTTACGAATTGAAAGAAACGTCTTCCTGTGAGTACGAGATCGTCGTACTTACTAAACATCTCTGCCAACATCCTTCTTATGGGTCGGTGAATTAGGGGAATGAATGAGTGAATTGGTGATGAATGAATGAATGAACGAATGAATGAATGATATGAACCTAATACAAATGAACGGATGAGTTGATGGATGAATAGTATAATGAAATATTACAACTACGTATTTTAATTCTTCAACTTAGACCTAGGAAGAGTGAGGTACATACAATAGATTGCCATTTGGTCGGGAACTCCCCCATGTTACCATCAAATCTAAGGGAGCTGCAATTTAGTAATGCATTCGCTAAACACAACAAAGAGGCTAGTTTGGGTTCTTAGTATAAAATTCATTTTTATTAGTCACTCTCTTCGTGTAAGTTTTTTTATTATTTTGTAAACTTTAAAGAGGTTAGTCTAAGCTTTTAACATAGCATTTACTTTTAAATAATTTTTCTTTGTGTTTGTAAACTTTCACCCGCCCAGCACCAGCAAATACTAAACACAATCCTAGACGTGCAAACACTAATCGACGAAGATGACGACGACGACGACGACGATGTTGGTAGTGGCGATAAAACTAAACAGCCACAACAACTGAAAACAGACACAGGAGCAGCTGAAGCTACGACAACCTCAACACCAAAAGGTGTGGTAGCAATGTTATAGGTTGTATCACAAGTTGATTTGTACTTCAAACTTCATTTCACTCCTTTATTTTCACTGTAGGTCTGTTAGTTTTTACGATGTTATCCATCATACTTACTTCAGATTTGATAAAATTTCAAGTCATTTCTCAATTTTTTCTCTCAACAAATTTGTAAACTTATTACTTTCTAGTTGTTAATTTTTTCAATTTTGTAGAGAAGCATGTAGACATGGACTCTGTGTTCAGCATTCCTCCATCCAGCAAACACATACTGAGGGAATTTTTGAGTGGAGATTATTGCATCGAAGGAGTGAATTCATTTTTTAATATTTGAAAAAATTGTATTAATAAATATTAAAATATTAGTGACACGTTTTTTTTTAAAATTAGGGAACTGGTTGGTGGAAGCATGAGTTCTGCTTTGGAAAGTTCATCAGGCAGTATCATGACGTTAGTGACGCTAGCACCTCATGTACAAACATACATTCGTAAATTATACATACATACGAACTTGAATACATACATACTTACCTACTTACATATATGCAAACATACATTCATAAGTTATACATACATACGAACTTGAATACATACATACATACTTACCTACTTACATATCAATTAAAAAACTTACAGACTATTACTTCATACAAGTGAAACCAATTTCTAAAACCCGTCTTTATATTCTGTTAAAAATCTCATACATCTGTTCAACCTTTTTTGGCCATTATTTTTCTATTAAAACTGTTTTTTTTAACAAAATATCGAAAATAATTATTTTTTGTGAAAGGAACATGACTTCAGAAGGGAAATAAAATTAGGAGTCTGGAATGAAGAGAAACATTTACAATGGGTCAATTCTAATTCTTACAAAAAACCAAAGCCATATAGCGAAAGAAAGTAACGATCATATTTATAGGGATAATAATTTTTATTGAATGCGTGATATGCATGAATTTATTCTATTTTAATTGTTGCTAATAGATAATTATTTATTACCAAATACATTAACTCTACTTTTTTATGTTATTATATTTATTGTTAATGAGAGTTAATGAGAAAACGTTTTAATTGTTATTATTGTTGTTATAAAAGTTATACTACGAGTTTATTATTAATTATTTATTTTTATTATTAATAATTAAAATGAAATTTAAATAGGTCCCTGTATAATTTATATGGAGACGGTGATTATTGCGAGGAGGTGAAGAAGAATAGAATGGTTGAAGTCAGATTTGAGTTGGTTTTGCAGATATTTTTTGACTATTTTCAGCAGTCATTTGTGATAATTTCATATTGTAATAATTAAAAATATTATTCATCATATTCATAGTTGCTCAGACCAGGGAAAGATGTCTAACTCAATCTCTCTATACCTGGTTGAATCGACCACTTGTGAATACAAACTCATTGTTAGTATTTGCGTCAGGTTGTTGCGAAAACTAGGTTGGCTTTAAGTTAATTAATTTTTAAAAACAGAATTTATTTTCATTTTTTATAGGTAGAATCATCATTATTCTGTGATATGATAAGATCAGCTGATGATAACGGCCTAATTGATTACAAGATATAATAATAATTATTATTATTTAATAATAATTATTATTTGATATTTTTATTAATATTGTATATTTCAATTCTTCCATTGTGAATACAAAATTTTTCAATTACAGGTGTATCTATAAATAATTTTTAACCGTTAATATTTCTTATTGTTATTGCCCTTGTTATTATTACTATTATTCTAATTACTTTTATGGTTTTATTATTATTATTTTTGCATAAAAGTAATTTTTTATTTCACTCATCGCTTAATAACATTCAGATTTATTTACTTCATTTACTGTGCCTTCACTTTGTACAAAAATTAACGTTGGCAACCATATAAACCTTTTTAATGTTAACTTTAATATCACTGAATAAAATGTTAATAAATTTTTGCTAAACCGATGACGGGCTTTTTTGGTTATTTCAGGTCTATAGACGAAAAATTTGAAAGAAAATGTATATAACTAACGATTTTGTCATTGTAATTATTTTAAAATGATATTTTATAAAAATTTTAAAAATAAAGATAGGTATCGAAAATTTTGGCCGTGAATTGAAGCGTCCTAGACTAGAGAGAAATGATTTCACCTGAGACTGCATTCAAACACTGTCACAGACACGGCTTTGTTTAGTGCGCGTATATATTTCATGAAATTTGATAGAAAATTATAACGAGGTCAAACGGAACAAAATTTCCCAAGTTTTTTTTTTATTTCACGCCAAAAATAAACAAGAAAAAATATGATATTAATATCGTTAATATTATTTTTTGGCAAGCAATTTTTTGGGGATTTTATCTTTATTCAGCCCTTTAACACTGAACAATCTGCTTGCTCTCTCTATCAAAGTTCCGCCACACTTCAATCCTCTATCCGTCAATTCCTTCTTAAGAACTTCCATCCCTAATTCGGCCAGTTCCTCTGGGGAATTGTAATCATTTAGGTTCACCTTTATATCAGGGGTAGGCTGTGCTGCCGACGATGGTGTTGTTTCTGTGGCAGTGGGCTTTGTTTCAGTTAATGTAGGATTAACATTTTTGTTGCTATTATCATCATCAATCCTCTTATCTGTTTCATTTATTGCATTAGTTATTTGTTGACCATTTTGTTGTGTAGAGGTTGCTAATGACGATAACGTTGTTGCAGATGATGACGCCATTGTTGATGTTGGTGATGATGAATACAATTGTGGTCTCTCAACATTTTTATAATAATCATTGTTGTCATTTATAATAGGATCCTCTGCATTATCATCCTCATCATCGTCACTATCGTCAGTTTCATCACAATCATCATCACTATCCTCACCATCAATGATGGCCAGGTTTGAGTTTGATGAACAGGGGACATTATGACCACCACTACAAGATGGACCATCCTCATTTTCAGCGCCGACCTTGCTAGCACCGCAACTGCTGCTGCTACTACAAGCACTGTTACCAGTGGTAGCATTGTTATTGTGAGTCGCATTACCATCGTCCTCCTCATCATCAGTATCATCCACGTCAGCTCCTAGCCACAGTTTGGCAATTTTAGAATTTGATTTAGTTTCTTCAGCCTTTCGTTTTATTGGTCCATTGGCAAATGCTGTAAGGATTTAAAAAAAATTTCCTTATGATTATAAGTGAAATGGAATTTTTAAAATTTCAAACGAATAACTATTATTCATTAATATAATCATGTTGAATGAGTGCAGAATGCTTAATGAAATTGATTACTGCATAGATACTTCAGAGTGAAGTCTTTCAAGTTTTGATTCGATGTTGATAGAATTTAAAACTTTGATATCACTAACATCTAGAAGTTATTTTATAGTTACAAACCGTATTTGATAGCTTCATTTAAATCTTCTGCAATTTTCTTCTTCTGCTCATAATATTTCTCATCTTCAAACTTGTGCTGTGGCAATCTCTTCATCCTCTCTCTCTTCTCCTTCCTTCTTATGGCTTTCTCTAATTCTTTATTTGCATTCTTCCCTACTTTAGCTGTCCATTCTCTCAACCTAAATTAAAATAAAAAAATTAGTTATAATAAAATATATGTTGTTAACAATCATAGATATTAAACGTACTAAAATCTGGAATTAATATAATAAATATAATTATAATACGAATGAATGGCTTTCATTTTCAAACGAACTTTTTCTCATTATTCACATCTCTCATTCTCCTTCCACTCAAATCTCGACACGCTTCCCTATTTGTTGTCTTTTCTATTTGGGCCCCCAGAGCTCTGAGCATGGAACCAAAACCACCCTTGCCAGCAACAAGTCGAGGATGCAGTCTGTAGAACTTGTTAGGCACCAGTTGAGCATCATCATTCACAACTTTACCATCAACTGTCAAATAAAAATCCTTTTCTGGCAGACAGTATCCCTGTGTTGTAAGCAGATAAGTAAATAAAATTGTTAAGTAAATAAAATTGTTATTGAAAAAATAAAAATTTAATATCAATTAATGGCCTTCATTAATGTTTTTGTTGTTTTTTAGAGTTGTAATTTAATGTAAATTAAATTATTTAATTATTTTAAAAATTTAAAAACTTTAATTTTTAATAATATTAAAAATTTAATGATTAAAAAACGAAAATTAAAAAGTAAAAAGTAACATACCAAATTTTCGAAAACGAACGATTTGACATTTTTTATCAAGGAAATGTCACTTTCGGCCAGAAAATAATCCAGATATTTAAGAGAAAACATTTTTTCACACGAAGTTATTCCAAAGATAATCTAATCTGCTGAAATATTATTGAGCGTCGATGGTATACTTATGCTTATACTTATAATATAATATAGTTAGAATAAATACGTTTGGGGGAGCGCCGCTAAATGTAGTATTGAATAAATTTGCTAAAATACTGCCAAATCGTGTTAAGTAGAAAGTCTAAAATATTGAAACCACCAACTTTATATATACATACATAAATGAATTGTAAAAAGTGGCATTGTAAAAATTAACCTTAATAAACAAAGATTTTATCAATGTTATTCTTCCATAGATAAAGTAAGCGTTGTAAAAATCAAATAAATGTATTAATTACTATTACAATTACATATACTTATAATAATATAGTAATTACATATAGTAATTAGTATCACAAGTAATTACATATAGTAATTAGTATCACAAAGAAAAGTAAGCATTTTTACAAGCCTTTTAACTTAACTTTTGTACAATTTTCTTCGTGTTTATTTCCGACTGTGACAAGACGAAATAATTATAATATTAAAATTTGCTTTTTCTTCATCTTTTTCCCATTTCGTCTGTTCATTTTATTCCTTTTTTCAATTTATTTTTATTCTATTTCCATATTTTGCCGTTTCATAAAAGAAAATTTAATAGTAGTGCAAGTTTGAAAATGTCTTACGCCTATCTTTTCAAATACATTATTATCGGAGATACTGGTCAGTGATTAACAATTAACTGATTAGTATGATTTTTAGAGTTGTAATTTAATGTAATTAGTAATTTATTTAATTGTTGTAGTAGAATTATTCATGAAAGCGTAACATCTGTTATATCTGTTACTTGACTTGACTCTTACTACCATAACAATAACTAAGATGACTAACTTTTTAAAAATTGAAACAGTGTTCCCTCTGCCCTTCATTCTCTCTTTCTCTCAATTTTCTGAAGTTTTCACTGAGATAAAATATCATATAATAATATAAGTAACTAGAGTCTGTCACTTAGACTAGCAACGAAAACATTAATGAAGGCCATAGTAATGATATGTATGATATTCATATTATACTCGAATTTGTTTTTTTAGAATTGCTACTGATTATAAATTTTAATTCTTTACAATTTTTTTTTTCAACTTATGAAGGTGTTGGAAAATCTTGTCTGCTTCTGCAGTTCACAGACAAACGCTTTCAGCCTGTCCATGATCTGACAATAGGTTTGTCTTGGGTTCTTATGTTATCATTGCATTATATTGTTATTTTGCTAGTTAACTTGCCAATATATGTTAGGTAAATTCTCATCAAACCATCTCTAGTTATACTTTATTTCTTTTTTTTTCATTTTATAAAAAGGTGTTGAATTTGGAGCTAGAATGATAGGGATTGATGGCAAACAAATCAAACTTCAAATCTGGGATACAGTTTGTTATATTCATTCATCCATTCATTTACTCATGCATTCATCTATTTATTCAATCACTCATGCATTCATCTACTTATTCAATCACTCATGCATTCATCTACTTATTCAATCACTCATTCATCCATTTATTCATTCACTCACTTGATCATTCATTCCAATTTTGAAGGCGGGTCAGGAATCATTCAGATCGATAACAAGATCTTATTATAGAGGTGCCGCCGGGGCATTGCTTGTTTATGACATCACAAGGTCGTGCATTATTATTGTTGTTGTTGTTGTTATTATAATTATTATTAGTAGTTTTCTATATAGTACCATTGTTGTTTAAGTGCAGTTATTGATTTTTAACATTCATAAAATTTATTCGATTGAAAATTAACTCTATAAAAGTTATCTCTCTCTCTATATATATATATTATAAATAATTAAATATTAATAATTATAATTAATAATTAAAAAAATAACAGACGTGATACATTCAACCATTTGACAACATGGCTGGAAGATGCAAGACAACATTCAAGCTCCAATATGGTCATCATGCTCATTGGAAATAAAAGGTTGGTTAGATGGTTTGGTTGGCTAGCTGGTTAGTTAGTTAGTTGATTGGTCTATCGGTGGCTAATTTTTTTGAAAATTGATTCTATGAATTTTTAATTTCTCTAGTTACTAATTTTTGGAATTTCTGCTTTTAATAGATTCTAGATTAACAAAATCACCAATCTACTCTAACCTCAAACTTTCCTAAATTGTTGGCAGTGATCTGGAGGCGAGACGTGACGTGAAGAAAGAAGAGGGCGAGGCATTTGCCAGGGAGCACGGCCTCATTTTTATGGAAACATCTGCCAAAACTGCTGCCAACGTTGAGGAGGTTCTTCCTTTTATTAATTTTTTTTGTAATTTATTTTATTTCTATTTATCTTTATTATAATCGTGATTTAATTAATGAATTACAATCAGTTTATGTGATGCTTGTTGTGTTCATTTGTTCCCAGGCGTTTATAAACACAGCAAAAGAGATCTACCAGAAGATCCAAGAGGGTGTCTTTGACATCAACAATGAGGTGAGTCCGTTACAATGACCATTATTTCATTGACTTTGGTATCAAACCAAAAATTTTTTCTACTTATTTATTTATTTTCTGAATCAGGCCAATGGAATAAAGATAGGACCACAGCACTTTCAGGCAAACGCCAATCAAGGTGTTGGGGGCGGAGGTTCTGGCCAATCAGGTGGCTGTTGTTAGCCAATGACAAAATGTGAATATTTATTTGCCAAATCAATTATTTTTGGTTGGTTGATTGATTGTTAACCAATTGCAACGTTGTTTTCAAAATATAAATGTTCATTGGCTAACATGAAGATATCTTTTTAAATATTTTTTTGGTGAGTTAATTTGAACTAATACTTTTCATTCGTGTTTTAAATGTTAATATTGACACTTTAAAGCAACGTTTAACAATCATTACGTTTAATATTATTTTTATAATTTATTTGTTACTATTATTAATATTTCAACTTTTGTTTCAGTCATTTTAATATGTTAATGTATGAGGTAAGTATTAAAGTACTAGTAACATTTATTTATCTATCTTAAATGCAACATTATGGTTCTGTATAATATAAATTTCTCTTAAACGCTTAGCTAAAATATTTTAATTAATTGTATATATAGTTGACTTATTTCGTTCTTAAATAATTTTTTTAAATCTTACATTCATTCACCCATTCTTTTCTCTCTCTTTCTTTCATTTACGTTTATTGAGTCATGACTTTGTTTATCAATGTTTGCTTAAGTAATACAAAAGCCACTTCGAGATTGTATGTTGCTATATACATTAATATGATTGTATGTGATAAATATATAAATTAATAAATATATTATTTTCAGTCATCAGTTATGTTCGTTTTCTTATATATTGTTTTTATTGATATTATTACTGTTATAATTTTTGGTTGCAGCTGGTGACTGGTACTCATTCATATTTATTATATTTCAGATTAATATTGTTAATTATATTCTATAAATGGTAATAATCATAACTGTTTTGTATGTTATAATGCACAACAAACGAATTATCACTTACTATATTCAGATTAATTCATTTTATTCTTACATGAATGTTTATTTATTTCTTTATTTATGTAAATTCTTTAAAAATTTTAAGCACAATTTTTGGATCTGAAGATTTTTATCATAGAATGTCTACCTTATTAGTGATTAATGGCTCAGTTCTTGTTACTACTTGATTGAGGCTGCGTTGTGGGCTATGACGTGCATTTAATCACGAAATTTTATGCATAATTTGTTCTTAAGACATCAATTTTTGATTTAGTTATGTCACTTTATTGATGAAATGAATTTTTCTTAACCCAGACTCTACCTATAATTATCTAATAATTATTTGGTGTGTGTCTGTTTATTTGAATTAACTTTTAGACGATTTAAATTTTATGCTTAAAAAGCTGTTTCCCGTTTTTATTTCGGGGAAGCTAGCGAAAAAATAAAGATTAATAAAATGGGTTGGTAAAGCGGCAGACCGTTTACGATGTAATTTTTAAATCGAAACGCGGATTTGTAAATAATATTTCAATTTTTAAATTCTCCATAAGTCTTGTGGCGGAACCAAGAGTGATCTAATCTCAGCTATTAATTAATTAATTATTTATTATAAATTATAATAATTAATTTTATAATTCTATAATTGTTTTTAAAATAAAAAAAGTTTTAAAAATGTCTGCTGAAGAGATGTAAGTCTATCTTATTTTTCATTATATGATTCCTAATTTACTGATTAATTGTTTAGAATTTAATTTATTTAAAAAAGTTTAACTTACATTTAAATTAAAATTAAGTACATAAATTAGGATTAGTAAATGAACAATTTAAATAAAAGTTTATGTTATTCATATATTAATTTGTTTTAATATTTTATGTATTTAATTTTAAATGATCATTCAAGAGAAAATGAAAATTGATGACTGACAGGCGGGTCACGTAACCATGACACCGACATATACAAAAATTAAATCTTTTTAAAAAATAGTTAATTTAATACTAATATTAATTTTTGTTAATTATCACTAATTTGAAAGTTGGGAGTGGATTGAAATAACAGATCCTAGGACAAAGGCAAAGATGTACGCAAACTTGGAGACAGGAGTTGTGCAATGGAATGCACCCACCGGGGTACAAATGTTAGTTCATTCTTCTATTTTGCCAATTTTGTGAAATTTCAAGTTATTTATATTTAAATAAATTAATTGTTAAAGTTATGATTATTTATTAAAACATTTGTTAAATTTTTGATTTGATTATCTCTTAGTTATAGTTACTTACGTCATTGTTGATAAGTTAAATTTAAACTGAATTAATATAAATTAAAGTAAGATCAGTTGATTTTATTTATTTTAAAGTAAGAGGACAGATGAGAATCAGTGGTGGGAGCTGTACGACAAGAACACTGCAAGATTTTATTACTACAATGCCTGTCTGCAAGAAACTCTCTGGCAGAAACCAAACGCCATCAACATCATACCACTCGCTAAGCTGCAGGTCATTTCATTATGATAAAAGTTGCTTCTGACTTATTAAAGGATACATAGTAACCATTACAAATATCAAAGTCATTAAATTTTTTTAACATAAAATTAAAAACTGCTTTAGACTCAATAAGGGATGTATTGTGTAAGTATAGAAGCCAGATCAGCTAACAGTAACAAGCTAATTCCATTTGAAGTGTATGCTATATTAATAAATAAGTTACTTGTTTACTTAATTTTCAGACACTTAGACAGAATACATCTGTGACTAAGACTCACTCATCATCATCATTTCCTCCACCATCATCATTATCATCACTTCCCACAACAACATCATCATCATCATCAGTAGTAGTAGTAACAACATCAGGAGCTAAGAGGGCTGTGAATACTGCAATTAAAGTAAAGTGTTTGTAGATTATTTTTTAATGTACATATCTTTCTGTGTGTGTGCGCTTGTGCGTGTGTGCGTATGTTTGTATACGCTTGCGCGTATGTGTGTGTGTGTGTGTATGTGCGTATGTATGTACGTTTCTGTTTGTAGTATGATAGGATTGTTCATTATTTTAGTAGTTGCTGGTTTTGTGTAAAAATGTAATATCTGTCTGTATGTCTGAACGTGTACTTGTGATAATGTGTGCAAATGTGTGGGTGGATTTGTCTCTCTGTTTCCATTCTCATCTCTTTTTTTCTTCATCTCTCTCTCTCTCTCTCTCTCTCTCTCTCTCTCTCTCTCTCTTTCTTTCTTTCTTTAGATAGTTTGTCATGATTGTTGTGACAAGTCATGCTATGGAATCAATTAAGAATGCTTCTCCTATATGGCACATGGAGAAACAAATGAATGAATGAATGAGAGAATGAAAGAAAAGAAAGAGTAAAGGAATGGATAAAAAAGTAAATGGACATATGAGTAAAGAAGAGAATTAATGAATGAATGCAATGAATGAATGAAAAGTTAGGCATTATAATTGAGCATACTCATTGAATGTGTATATGAATTTATTTATCACATATGTATTTTAAGAAGAAAATAAAAATTGTGTTTGTGTATGCTTATGTATGCTGTATGCTTATGTATTCATGTATGTATTTCATTCCTTATTCTACATCCAAACATCCTTGTATAAAAATTGTTCCATGTTATCAGCACATCTTATCTGATAAATTTCTCAAATTTTATATTGTTTCATTATTATTTGTGCTGCTTCTCCTGTTAATGTTTTTGTTATTTGTCAGAGCATTTCTTCATTCTTAAGTTCAAGTGTTGTTTTTTACTTTTTATTATTTAATTTCCATCCTGCAGAAAGAACTTAAACCATCTGTAATTATCCAACAACAAAAGCAACTACAACAACATCAACTGCTACAACAACATCAACTTCAGCAACAACAACAACTTCAGCAGCATAATAAAACCGCCACATCACCAAGACTGCCTCTACCTTCGAAACCATCACCATCAACAACCATGTTTACTGAACAACAACAACAACAACAGTTATTACAACAACAACATCAACATTTTAGTAACATCGCCAACATCAATAGTGATGACATCAGTAGCGTGAGAAGAAATTTGAAGCTGTCTGATTCCTCAATATATGCAAATGATTGGGAGATTGAAGAATTATTGTGTGGGAGTGGCCATGCCATCGATAACATGAGTGGAGCATCAGCATTTTTTGAGTGAGGATTTTTCATAGATGAATATTTATAATATTATTGTAATTTGCTAATATTATAATTCATTTTCTATCATCATTTCTTTTGCTTGCCGTTCTATAACAGCGGCAGGTATACTTATGAGGACTGCGACAGATTCAACAAGCGTTTTAATGCCAAGTACAACATATCCCCTGTGTTACACCAGCAACAACAACAGCACAGCAACAACGTCATCTTAGACCGCAGTAGCAATGACTTGCAAGACTTTTCTTCATCCTACTATGATCAGCTGCTGCCTGAGTATGTTGTGATGACGACGACATCGCAGCAATTGTTACATAAGCAAAACTTGAAATTATCATCTCCATCCTCATCATCGTCCTTGTTTTTCCATCCGAATGTCGTAGATCAAAGTGGATGCGCGGTTTATGACGAGCCCATTGATTGCTTCGTTGATCTGTTATCTCAACAACGACAGCAAATGTTACAAGCCCTGCAGCAAAAACAACAACACAATCCCTCTCCCAACTACCAGCAACAACCTCAGCATGTGTCGTCGATAGCACAGCAGCTGCAGCAGCATAATTTCTCCCCACAACAACTACCACAGACGATGTTCTACCAACAACTGCAACAACAGCCACAACAGCGGTCGACATCGTTGTTGTCAATTGTTACTCCACCCCCTTCTATGCTACAAACAAAGCTGAAGACTCGAGCCTTCCCAAGAACCAATCCATCATTTCTTGGTTGTCGGTCGAACTCTGCTAACAAGATGTTAAGGAAGTCACCGATTGTTTTGATGGCTCCCACTAATCAGATTCATCAAGAACAGCCACAGCATCAACAGCAGCAGCATCCACAACAACATCAGCAGCAGCAGTTTCAACAAATTGTCGTCAAACAAAATCAACACCCAAAATCTCACAATCAGTACTTGAAATTATCACAAAAAGATGATGTGTTGTTCACTCAACAACATCAACTGCAACAACAACAAAATCGTGATTTTGGTAACGTTTTTAAACAACAACATCAACAACAACAGTTACATCAGCAGCAGCAACAGTCTCAGTTTTATATTGCATCCCAAAGGTCAACAAAATTTGTGAAACCGTTAAGACAACTAAGTGAAACTGTTCATGACAGATACATCGGCCAACATCAACAATTGTTGCTGAAAAATGTGCAACAACATCACAAGCAGCGACAACTACAACAACAGCATTCAGTTGATAACCAACAATACAGCAACAACATTTTATCAACACCCTATGACTACCATACCCTGGCTGAAGATGAGGGCATCGTTAGTGGCAGCGACAACATCAACAGCACATCCCTAGATCTCTGTCATCGGGGAGGAAGTGGCACACGAATCGTTGATGATGAGAATGATTACGATGAAGTTAGAGATTTTGAGGATGATCTATGCAGGAATGAGGATGGTGATGAAGTGGAGGAAGTAGAAGATGAGGACAACAACGATGATGAACACTTTTTCTCACAGATGCTTTCAAATAAATTATCTCTGTCCAATAAGAAAAAGTGCAGATATAAAAGTAGATACCCATCATCCAACGAGCCAATTATTTCCAAGGAAACTGTGTCAAGTGACATAATTAAGTCAAGCAGCAACAGAGGTCATGTAAAGAAAGAGTCAGCAGGTAGGGCAGGTGCTGGAAACAACAACAGCAACAACTATTCAACTTCAACACAGGATTCTATTAATAGCAGAGAGTCTCAGTGTAAGTTGTTTTGATTTAAATAGTTTTTTGTCATTCACTGATCAGTTTTTACGTTCGTCTATTTTTCTATTCATCCATCTTTTTCGTTCACTCTTTCATTCATTCATCTCTTCACCCATTTACTTTACTCATTTTTCCATCCATTCATCTATCATACAGTCACAGACATATTCAGTCCATTCTCAAGCCTCTCTCCGAAAGAGGTGAGGAAAAGTTCGTTGAACTCAAATGCAAGTCAGAATCTGTTGCTGATGTTCCAGCAGCAACAAATCATGCAGCAGCAGCAGCATTTCAGTTGCACGAGACCTCCACCAGAGCAGCCACCACAAAAACAGTGGCCACCGTGGCAACCGCAACAGCAGCGCCAGCAACGCCATCAGCAGGAGAATCTTTACAACAATGATGATGGCGATGATGATGACAGAATGGCGTTGTTGAAATCGGCCACTACAAAAACTTACCCACCTGGCGTTACGAGGATGTCCTCTGCTCTTATTAACAACAATAACAGTAACAGTGTGGCTGACAACCAGTTCTTCAGCAGCAAAAGTGATCCAGAGCACTACTACCAGCACCAGCAACAACAACATCAACATCATTATCATCATAAACAACATCAGCAACAAGTTTATGACATTAAAGAGTCTGCTAATGTTAGCATGTTTAAGAGTATTTTCTTCATTTTAAACACGAAGTCTTCAACGAGTGCTGATGGTGACAAATGCAGAGGTGATGATGATAATGATGATGAGGAAGTCGTAGGTGGTGATGATAGTAATGGTGTTGGCGGGAGAGGCGGTAATGATAATGATGTCGACCTTAAATGGTTCCGTGAACTCGTTCAAATCTTGTCTTTTACCCAAGTAATTTTGGTTTCGTCTTTTATCATTTTGTTATTATTTATATATAATTATTTATTTACTTATTCTTGTTCTTGAAAGAAATAAAATAATTCTTTTTCATATTAGGAGGCCATCACACGTCCATTGACAAGAATCTGTTCCACCAATCCATCCCTCGTTAAAAAGTCGCTCTGCATATTCGATAGCATTCGCTTGTACATGGGAGATTGCGTTGCATCAACAACAGCAACAACAACATCATCAACATCAACAACAACATCAACTACGAGTAAATCTCAAACACCGGTCCAAGATGTACAACCGACAACAACAACATCATCATCGTCATCATTAATAACTGCAGTGACGTCAGCAACGACACCATCACCTCGTACGTCCGCATCAAATTGTAAAGTTGATAATCTGAGTAGCACTAGAATAACTAAGGAGCAGATTAAACTTTCCACACTCATCATCAACCAGTGTCTGAAATTAGGCAATCCAAACGTAAGTGAAGATGGCGACGTCGTGCTTTCTGTTGGCGATGATGATAACGATGGTGGAAAAATTTTCACTCCTGATAATGATCTCGTTGATGAAGTTTATTTGCAGATTGCCAAACAGTTGCATTTAAATCCCAGGCAGTTGGTGTCATTCCAAGTTTTTTTTTTCATAATTTCCTCATTTAAATACAATTTTAAAATTATTTATAACAATAATTATATTTCAATAATATACTAAAATCATTTATTTCTAGAGAAAGTTTACTAAAA